TGATGAAGGAAGGGGGTGGTGAGAGTTTAGGAGGTCTTTATAATATTGTTTTCTGTCTGGGAAACAGAAAGCTGTGGGTCAAAGGTCTGGGATTCATCCTGGATTTGCTAACTTCTAAGCCTTTATAGTAGGGCTGGCACCACCAGAAATTTGGGTCTTTCGTGACCCAATTTTTGGCTATTTTTCCTTCTCATCTACTTAATCTCTCCTTCTTTATGATGCTGGAACACACATAACTGCTTGAAGCTTTTCTCTGGAACCATATACTCGTCCATCTGCTGTTTCAGCACCATACGCTGGCTTTGTTGCTCTCTTTCCTAGAAATATCATGTTTCTAATCCTTACTTGCCTACCCGGAGAACTTTGTATCTTCCAGGGAATCTTTAATTAGAACTTTTCTGAGCTAACAATGTCACCTACTAAACTTGACTAGAATTATATATATGTTCCGATTGTCACATAATCACATTTTTGTTTGACGCAATCTCGATCAAAAAGGAGGTCATTCACCTCATGCTTGGCATGATAAATATGTTTTACAGTAATGTGCACATGCTTATAATGATGAAAGGATATAATATCTGATGATATAGTGTCTAGTATCCAACCTTTTCTCTGGCTGGGGGGTGCTGCCACAGTAATTAGCATTCCCGTTTGTTCTAGAGCCTTAGCAGTAACTGCCTCTCTTTGAGAGGGAATTTTAATCAGGCAGAATTTTGTTATGATTCCTGATTGTGCTGCCAAACAGCCTGGGTGTGATTACTAACGCACCATGGGATCCTGCACCCTCACGCGCGCGCGCACGTCACTGAGCAGCTCAAAGAAGGATTTTCTAAGATATCATGGGGCAATGCCTACCTACACCTCAACCCTATATTACAGCTATCCACGAAAGACTGGCCCTTCAGAAATGTTCATTGAAGAAAGACGAGAGGTGACCATTAGATAGGGGGCATCAGGTCCTGTGCAGGATGGGAAAGGTGGGAGGCTTAAGGTGTCTCTAAGGGATCACTGACATGTGGCCCGTGGATAGGTCCATCTTTGCGGGAGGACAGTTGACAGGCACTCATGAGGTCTGCAAAGCGGCCCATGCTATTTATAACATTAAGCAAGTCCTGACACAAGCCTGCTCCAGCATACCTCTACCCTGAAACCCAGCATCGGTCTGTCGATCATTAGAGGACTTGGTCATGATCAATCGGCATGAGGCATGAGATAGGTATACGCTATGGTTCTCCTGCATAACTTGGCATTATTTACTATCTACCAAAGCGACCTAGAAACAGCACCTTTTGATACGGGCAAATGATGATTCCACCTGTAATCGGAAGTTCGCATGACTACATGTTCTATGCATAACATCCAATTGGCAAAGAGTGACAAGAGGTGCCGTCTAAGGATACCTCCACTCTGACCTTTTGATTCTTTCTAAAAGCAACAACTGCAAAAAATAAATAAATAAAAAGGCATCTCCTAGGGTTCTCATTCTCTATGAATAATCATTCTTGAACTTGTTCTTTAGTTTTATTGGGTCAGGAGAATGTAATAAACAGATAACAATTATGTGTAATGGCTTTTTGACATTGACTCTGTTTTTTTTTTTCTCTAGCTATACAATTCATACGTGGGTGGTGTAGAAGGCAGCAGTAAAAGGCCTTCCATTGAAAAGAGCAAGAACCGCCCCCCAGTGACAACTACAAAAGGAGAAAGGTCATAATTAAAAGTAGATGGACTCATACCAACTCTGGGAATTGAGAGGTACTTTTCACCCACATCCTGTATTAGGGTAGGATAAAACACAGGAAATACGTTCTACTAAAATGTGTATGTTTTGTTTTTTTTTTTTCTTTCTTTTTTTTAAGATACCATGATCACTCAAATCCAGCCCTGATCATTCTGATGTCTCTGCTCGGATTATATAGCTTGAATTCCTACTGTTCCCTCTCTTGACTTCTGAGGAAAAATTTAATAAAACCCTCAGAGCGAATTATTACATCTTCAGTGTTTCAGATTACTGTGCTTTGTATTCATAACGATGTTGGGTCTGATCTTCTGACTGCTCTATAATAAGGATGCTAGACAAGTTATGAACCTCTCACAGATGAAGCTGAATTCTTCAGCAATTTAAATATGAGAGGATAATATAGGTCTTGATTTTGAAGGTCTGTTGAGAAATTAAATGAAATGATGCATTAAAATAAAATATAATTTAGACTAGCCGGCACACTGTAAGGTCATTCATATTAAATGGTAGCTAAGGAGAGGAGCTGTGGAATGACATCTCTGTCAAACTGCAAAAGCAAGTCAAGGAACATTGTCATGCATATATACATGTTTATAAAGGTAAAGAAATAAAAAAACAACATGAAGGACTATGTTTGAATGAGGATTTTGCTTTTAGACTTAGAGGGGATGTTACGACTGTTTCTTACTAGTTCTAGGTCCTGGTAGAGAAAGTCCCCTCCCTGTGACAATGTGGGCCATAAATTCAGGCCCAGGAAGGTGCAGAAAACCACAGCCCTGGCCGGGCCGCGGTGGCCTCCACGCCTGTAATCCTAGCTTCTCCTGGGAAGGGGGCCGAGGCGGCGGCATTGCTCGAGGATCAGGGAGTTTTCGAAACGCAGGCCCTGGAAGCAAGAGCGAGACCCCTGTCTCCTTACTATAAAATAGAAAGAAATTAAGGCAAGCTAATATATATACAAAAAATTAGCCGGGCATGGTGCGAATGCTGTAAGTCCCAGCCTACTCGGAAGGCTGAAGGCAGGAGATTGCTTGAGCCCAGGAGTTTTGAGGTGCTATGAGCTAGGCTCGAGCGCCCATGGCAAACTCAGTCTAGCCTGGGCAACAAAGCCGAGACTCTGTCCTCAAAAAAAAAAAAAAAAAAAAAAAAAAAAAAAACCCACAGCCTGGAAGGCACACCCCAGTGGCCAGGCCTTGTAAGTCCCCAGAAAGCCAGGCCTGGGCCCAATCCTGTGCCAAGTCGCTCTCTGCCCTCTTTCACTAAGCCCAGCTTAGCTCAGCAGCCTGGACAGTTCTCCCAAGTTCATCTGGGCCAGAAAATGATATTCCTGAAGATTTGTTAATCAAGTTACCATTATCCTTCAGAAGCTATTAGAATTGCATTTTTATCTTTTTCTCTAAAAGGATTTTTTATCTACTTTCACCATGTCAGAAAAGTCTTCCCTGGGTTTTGGCCTCAGTTGTTTTTTTTCTTTCTTTTTTTTTAATTTTATTTTAGCATATTATGGGGGCATGGCCTCAGTTGTTTGTTTGTTTAAAAGCATTCTAGGCTGGGGGAATTCCTCCTTACTTTTAACAATCATTCCGGATACGTTTTTGCATGGATCGGTCTTTGCTCTAACTGTGGCAAGCCTCATTCCTGATTGCCTCTTACTCAGATCATAACAAAACAATTTCAGCAAACGTGCTGTTGACATCATGGACCTCGAGGAAGCCGTTATGAATCTCAAGGGCATTTTCTCTAAACTTGTCTCACCAGTTGGAATCTTACTTCTTTGAAGATGTGCATATGGCTTTTCTTGCTAATCACAGCGTTAAACCTAAATTCTGTTTCTTTCTAGCTGAACCATCTTTTCCACAGGAAAGCAAGAAAAGAAAACAAAGCTTTCTTGTTGCATTTTACCAAAGCAAGATGACTTAGCTTATTAATAAAATCAACAGAGATGTAAGTTAAGAGACTCTAGATCATTCTCCCATCATCCACCCATTCTTTCACTATCAAGGAAGCATGGTTTAGCACCAGGATTGGGAAAGATGAGATTCCACGTGTCCATTTTGGACATTTCTTATTTCTATGCTTTCGAGAAGGGTCAGCAAAACATACATGATCACAGATGACATTTCAAAGGAAATCACAGCAACGACACATCCTTACCCGGCAGTCTCTCTGAAGTGTTTTCATAAGTGCGTTGTAGGTTTCTGTATCAAAATACAACCCTTCGTGCATGTCTTGCAGGAAATCTAAGTCCTTAAACGTGGGGTTGGATTTCTCTCTCTCTTTTCGGGATGCTCTTCGTTTATACGTTGAGCCTTTTAAGTCATAAGTAAAGTGCATTTTCATGAAGCGTGGCAAGACGTTGTTCATCACCACGATCCTGATATTAATGCCCCCTGACTGCATGCAGTACAGTCCGTAAAATTTTGGCAAAAGAGTCCTTGGATTCTGGTTTAAATTCTAGAAACAAACAAACAAGATATTTATAGCATCCAATTTTTACAAAATAATGCTCCACAAAAAGATAAGTTTTCATGCTGATACAGTAATTAAAAATGGGATGTGATTATCTTTATTAATGTCCATCACCAAAATTTTTGCTGTTTCTGCTTAATGGAACAGCAACTTCAGTCTGCTTACTGGAACAAAAACTTTATCATTCTAAACTCAGGGCAGTAAAAGTGACTGAATTGAAAATGGACACTGTACTCCAAATTAGCTCCAGTGAAAAACAGGCAAAGAATTGATGGGTGCCATGAGTGACTATTCTTCTAGGTAGCTAAAGAGAAAATTGATTTCTGGAGTAGAAAGGATGAACATTTTAAAATTTTAATAGCTCCTGCAAACTGTCTTCCAAAATGGTAGACTAATTTACAACCATACTGAATAAGATTATACATTTCCCATCACTCTTACCTATCCTGAATATTATCAAACTTTAAAATCTTTGTAAACATGGTTGGTGAAAAATGGAAACTTGTTTTTAAAAATTTGAATACCCCTGATTATTATAGAAGCTTAATGCTTTTGATGTATTTTTAGCCACTGCAAAGACAATTTTGTGTTAAGATCCTTTGCTCATTTTTCTATATGTTTTTGTCATTGTTGGTATTCTTGATACAGTCTGGAATTGAATATTTATCATTTCCTTCTTTTATGGTGCTAAATATTTTTCCTGGTATGTTGTCTTTTTTATTATTATAAAATTAAGGAATACATGCCTATTTTTATTCCACTTTAAAAGTAGGTAAGAAATTAACAGAACTTACTGAAGAGTATATATATATGTATAATGAAATTTTCTCTGCTATCCCTCAATCTTTCCCCAATTCCCAACACTTGAGGAAACTACTGTTCTCACGTTCTTTATATCACTCCAGAAATATTCTATGTGCTTGTATTAATTTTGTGTCTGGTATTTTTTGTTATATGGATACTTTGTCTTTTGATGTCACATTTATCAACTTGTTTCTTCTGGTTTTATTTTTTTTTTTTGCTTTTGGTTTAATAAAGTTTTTTATATCCCAAAGTTATAAACTTCTATTTTCTTCCAAATTTTTTAGTAGTTTTGGTCATTACATTTGGTCTTTACTCCATATGGAATTAATTTTTTTGTGTGTTTGAAGTATCTGAAATAGGGAATTTAGTTTTTTCTTAAATGGATAGCCACTTATTGAATAGTCTGACTTTTCCCAGTTGAGTGTAAGTCTCCCTGTCAATACTAGTTGACAAATATAAATGGGTCTATTTCTGGACATTTTATTTGACTCCATTGATCCATTTGTCTAGAACTGTACTAATACTACCTCTTTGACATTAGTCATAGCCTTACGGATTTTTGGTATTTTACTATAGCAGGCCCACCATTTTTCTTCTCTTTCAAAAATATTTTGTCCATTCTTCCAACCTTTCTGTTTGAATGTTCATTTTTAAAAACGTTCTTAAAATGATACTTGCTTTCTTTTCCAAATGAATCAGCTCTGTAAAGTTCTGAGAAAAAACTTGGTTTGGAATTAGACTGGATTTATCAGTTGATTTGGGGGTAATTGAAATCTTTACAATACTGAGTTCAGGAGCAATTCATATCTCTTCATCATTCCAGATCTGTTCTATCTCTTTCAACAACATTTTGTAGTTTCTTTCATATTGGTATTATAACATTTGTTTTTATAGACTCAAGTATTTTAGAGTTTTTTTTGCCATTACAAAAATTCTTTCTGAATTGATTATTGTTCATATGTTAAATTTACTATAATTTGTTTTCCCAATGAGAATTATAGTACTCATATGTAATTTATTTATATTGTTATTTTTCTTATAATGTTTATTATAAATTATTATCATAAATTAATAGGACCTCTTACTTTCCCTTACGTTCTCCAGCTCTATCTCATCTATGTAATGGAATACAATGGACTTCGTAGATTTATCTTATATCCTACAAATCTCCTGGACTGTTATGTTACCTCTAGAACTTACTGGTTTATTTTCTTGAAGTTTTATTCATTTTCAATTGCGTAACTTACAGAGAATAGTGCTTATACTTTTCTCCTGTTTCTTTTTGTATTCAAAAAGTCACTACCAGAAATTCTAGCAAAGGCATTGGCAAGTACCATTGATGGAGAGTATCCTTGTCTCTTCTTATGTTTCCAGGGAAGGACTCTTGTTCTTCTCCATGAGATATTATGTGAACTCTTGGAGACTGATAAATGTATGATATGTGTGTGTGTTCATTTATTTACTTATTGTGTTAAAAAACTTTCCTGCCAATTTTTAGAATTTTTTTTTTTTTTTTTTTTTGAGACAGAGTCTCACTTTATTGCCCAGGCTAGAGTGAGTGCCATGGCGTCAGTCTAGCTCACAGCAACCTCAAACTCCTGGCTCAAGCAATCCTACTGCCTCAGCCTCCCAAGTAGCTGGGACTACAGGCATGCGCCACCATGCCCGGCTAATTTTTTGTATATATATATATATTAGTTGGCCAATTAATTTCTTTCTATTTATAGTAGAGACGGGGTCTCGCTCCTGCTCAGGCTGGTTTCGAACTTCTGACCTCGAGCAATCCGCCCGCCTCGGCCTCCCAGAGAGCTAGGATTACAGGCGTGAGCCACCGCGCCCGGCCAATTTTTAGAATTTTAATTAGGTGAAGATGTTGAATTTTAAGGGCCTTAGTTTCTCCTCAACATCTGTTTGGATAACCACATGATTTTTACATTTTTTTCTTGTTAATAGGATGAATTATATTGTTTGTTATACTAGCTTACACGAATGGGATAAAACAACTTGTTCAGCTAAATTTTAAATGTTAGTTAATTTTAATTATATTTAAATAGCCACATATGGCTAGTGATTACCAGATTAGACAATGCAGTTCATAATAAGGAACTAATATATGTAAGCTTAGAACGACAGAAGTTTAAGATTTACTCATTTAGCAGGTTATCAAAGAACATGATGTCCATTTGATCCCAATTTTAGATTACTTTAAAATGTGTGTATGAACAGAATATATCTAAAAGCATATATGCCAAATTTTAGCAATATGTATCTCTGGGAAAGAAATTGGTTATATTTTTCTCTTTTTCTTTTCTTTCTTTTTTTTTTTCCGAGACAGGGTCTCACTCTGTCACCTGGGCTAGAGCACAGTGGCATCATCATAGCTCAATGTAACCTCAAATTTCTGAGCTCAAGTGATCCTCCTGCCTCAGCCTCCCAAGTATCTAGGACTATAGGCCCATACTGCCATGCCTGGCTAATTTTTCTATTTTTCTTTTAGAGATGGGGTCTCACTCTTGGCTCAGGCTGATCTTGAACTCCTGGCCTCATGCAATCCTCTTCCCTTAGCCTTTTGAGGTGCTAAGATTACAACCATGAGCCAACTTGCCCTGTCCTCTTTTGCTTTTCGATATTTTCCATTTTCTCTAAAGAAAAGAACATTCATATTCAAGATCAAAATTTTTTGAGATCTGCCTGCTGGCCGCTAAGATTTTTATTTAAATTTTAATTGCTATACTTCTTTATGAGATTAATATATAGTATTTAATGCTGTCTCTAGCAGATTTTGAAATTAAAATAATATTTTTATATACAAATGAGTTGTGTGATATCTCATCAATTTTTTTTTTTTTTGGAACAAAGATGACAATTATCACCTCTTATAGCAAGTGAATGGCAGAACTGGAGCTTTGGAAATTCAACAGCTTCATGTAGCTATTCCAATCACAGAAAATTACTGTTATGAAAGTACAATGAATCCAGAGGCACGAAAATGATAGGACTACTTAGGAAAAGTGCTAATTTCTTTAAAAATTTGGACTAAATGTGTAGTAAATCCATCTGGGTTAAGTTACTATTTGTCTTGAAAACATTACACAGAAGATGAATATTTTCATGTTATCATATTTAACCTATGTAATCCTAAATTCTGAAGTGTACTAGCTAAGAATAGCTCATACCAAATACATGTATGTATTAAGTGCAGGGGTTGAAAATGCAGCCTCTGCAACCCTATGCCCAGGCTCTGCTGCTGTCTAGCTGAATAACACTTGGCAAATTACTCAATTTATCTTTGCCTCAATTATCTATAAAATGGTGATGACTGTAGTGTCCAAGGTTGCTGTGAGGATTGAATGAGTTAATGAATGAGTTAATAAATGTAATACTCAAGATCTTGCCTAACACATAGTAAGCAATCAATGATGGTTAACCATGCATATTATTACCAGGTACTGAGTGCAAATACTTATGCAATGCATTGCTTCCCTTTCTCTTCTCTTATTCTATATCATGGATCCTTCCTTTATCACAACAACAAATAGATATTTCCCAGCTTTTAAAGGCTAATGGAACTAAGGCTCAGCAGGTATGCTGTTTATATGGGTCATCCAATTAGTTGATGGCTGAGCTGGGATTTGGGCCCAGGATTGTGTGATTCAACAACTATGCTCTACCATCCAGTTCTAGCTGCCTTTAAAAAATCTATTTAATGAATGTCATACCATCATCTAAATGGAAAATAAAGTTCACCAAAGAGAAAGGAACATGCCAAAGAGGCATCGGAAAAAAACATAGAAAAAAGAACTGTTGAGGAAAGTAATTAAACCTAAAGCATTAGCTTTAATCATGCGAAGTTCCTTACCATGTAATAGCCTGGCAGTAGCTTCTGGAGGAACTCAGCTTCTTTATGCTGAACTGTTTTGATGATAAATTCATCATCACTGGTCACAAAAAACAAAGATCCGCTGGCCCCAGGGTTGGACAGCTCTATTAGAGGTTCACTGCAGATGGAATACTAAAAGGGGAAATAAATAAACATTTAAAAATATACTTGATGTATAGGGTGCTTCCAAGGAGGGCAATCCTAGCATTACATGTCTTGGTCATTTTGAAGCAGGAAGCCCTCTCTCTGAGCTTTCCAAAGAGGCTCTAGGTATACTAAGAAGGCTCTTTGTGAGAGTTCTAAGGACTTAATAATTGGTCTGTTTGTCTTAATAATTTTGTAATGGAAAACAGGCATGCCTTCCCCACTTCCAGCATCGTGGGATAGAATCATGAGGCATCCCATCTGTTCAATGAGATAATTCAAACAGTAATGTTGACTAAGGTGCTTTGTTTCCAGTAAGTGCTCATAAAAATAACAATTGAAGATGTGATCCACACGATGTATTTATCAATTCAACACCAACCCCTATTCTCTTTTCACTATTTATTTTCCTAGGAGATGTCATCCACTCATAGTTCCAATGATATAGATGACTCTAACATCTGTATCTCCAGCCCAGATCTCTCTCTAGGGCTCCAGACCTATTCATCAAACATTTTAATAGACATTTTTGCTTGGATATACTGCAAACATTTCACATGCAACAAGTTCACAATCAAATTCATATAGCCCATGTGATAACCCTTTGTGTTAATCAGAAAGATGCATCCCTTTATCCCGGCAGATGCAGCTCTGGGGCAACACACAGGCTGATGAGTAGAAGAAGGGCTGGATTCTAGTCTCTACTCCTTCCCCTCAGTCAGGTAGGAATGCTTGGGCAGTGCACACCCTGCACAACTGTACGTGGTGATTCTAGATTATCTGTTCCTATCCTGTATTTTCCTCCACTCCACTTTCCCTATCTTAAAGAATAGAAATATCATTCACCTTGTTCGCCATACTAGAATCCTGGGCATCATCCTTGGCTCCTCACATTTCCTCACCTTCCCCATCCAGATTGTTGATTCTGCCTTGCCCCTTTCATGCTAATCCTTCTGCCAATACCCTAAGCTCAATGGTTTCATCATCTCACGCTTGGATTATTACAGTGAGCTCCTGGTCTCAACTGTCCACTCTCGTCCCCTCCAGTACATCACCAGGAAGCCAGGGACCTTTCTGAAATGCAAATCTCATCAGGCCCTTCTGTGCCTTCACATCTTTCAGTGGCTCTTAACACAGCTCTCGAGGCCGAGGATGACCTGGGCTCATCCTCAGCCTTCTCTCTCATCACTTACTTCCCTCTAGAAACTTTAGCTCTAGCCACAGAGGGTGACTTCCCATGTTCTCAACGTGCCACACACTCTCGACTCCTGGGCTTTTGCATTTTCTTTCTTTCTTTTTTTTTTTTTTGGAGGCAGAGGTCTTGTTCTGTTGCCCAGGCTAGAGTGCCGTGGCGTCAGCCTAGCTCACAGCAACCTCAAACTCCTGGGCTCAAGCGATCCTCCTGCCTCAGCCTCCCGAGTAGCTGGGACTACAGGCATGCACCACCATATCTGGCTAATTTTTTTAAATATATATTTTTAGTTGTCCAGCTAATTTCTTTCTATTCTTTTTAGTAGAGATGGGGTCTTGCTCTTGCTCAGGCTGGTCTGGAACTCCTGAGCTCAAATGATCCACCCGCCTCGGCCTCCCAGTTAGTGCTAGGATTACAGGCGTGAGCCACCGTGCCTGGGCTTTTGTACTTTCCTCTGCCTGAAACAATCCCCATTCTACTTTCACCTGTTTAACTACTACACGTTCCTGTATTCAATCAACATTTAAATAATAGCTCCTGAGCATCTGCTGTGTCCCAGGCACTGGTGAAGCTGATGTCCCAGGAGGAGGAAACGGGCAGTAAACAAGTAAACAAATGATCCATCACACTGTGGTAAGTGCTGTGGAGAAACATGAATTGCTGAGAGAGAGGCAGAGAGCGAGGCCGGGTTGCAGGAATGTAAGATAGGGCGGCTGCTGAAGGCCACGCTGGGAAGGTGGCTGAGGAGACAGGCGGCACGCCACACGGCTGTATGGGGGAAATAGCATTTCAGGCAGGGGGAAGGGCAAATGCAAAGGCCTCAGCCCTGGGGGTTCAAGATGCAGCAAGGAGGCCAGGGGCTGGAGCAGAGGGGGGTGAGGCTGAAAGGGTCAGGAGGCAGACCACGCAGGGCACTGCAGGCCAGTGCAAGGGCTTTGGCCTTGTCTCTAAGGGAGCTGGAAAGCCACTGGAGGGTCTGGAGTGGACATCACTTTGTCTGTTGGGGACAGAACCCACTGTAGGTGGACAAGAGGAAGACGCAAGCAGCACAATTCAGAGGACGACAGCTTTAGCCTTGTGTGTGTCTGACAGCACTTGGTCTGGGAAAGTCTTCCTGGATCCGTGAGTCTAGATCACTTGCTTCCTGGCCCTGGATGTTCTCATCACAGAAGTCTCCAAAAAGTCCTGCTATGGCCTATTTCCCTTTCCCGAGTTCCTTCTAAACTGCAAATTCTGTGTGGGGAGAAACTATGCACATCTTATACTCTGATACAGTCCCGGGACCTGTGCCTTACACAGATACAGCAAGTGCTCAATGAATTTTTGTCAGATTAGTGGCTGAACTCCACCAACAACTGAAGGGCAGTAATCTCACTAAAAATGCTAAAACCCAGCAGAGAAGTTAATTTTTGGTTGTTAAGGTGGTCAGTGTTTATTAACTAATAACTCACACGATTGACTAGAGAAAAAGTGGGGGGCAGAGGAAAAGGTAAGGAGATTCATGCAGGTGTGAGGTCAGGACCAGCCTGGCAAAAACAGGGGCTTAAAGAATCCTATCTTTTTACATTTTTTATTTTTCTATTTTTAATTGACAAATAATAACTGTATACATCTATGGGGTATGATGTTTCAATATGTGATGTTTCAATAATGTATGCACTGTGGAATGATCAAGTCTGGCTAATTAACATATCCATCACCTCACACATTTCTTTGTGCTAAGAATATTTAAAATCCATTCTTTTTAGCAATTTAGAAGTATACATTATTATTAACTATAGTCACCTTGCTTTGCAATAGATTGCTAGAACTTATTTTGCCTCTGCCCCTGTCTAACAGACTTTGTACCCTTTGACCAACATTTTCACCTTTCCCTGCCTACCCGCTTCCTGCTCAGCCTCTGGTAGTCACTGTCCTATTCACTACTTCTATGAGCTTGACGCCTTCCGATTCCACGTAAGTGAGATCATGCTGTATTGGTCTTTCTGTGCCTGGCTTTTATTTCACTTAACTTTGAGATTCATCCACATTGTCATAAATGACAGGATAATTTTCTTTCTTAAGACTGAATAGTATTCCATGTGTACTGTACCACATTTAAAAAAAATCCATTGATCTGTTGATGAGCACTTAGGTTGTTTCCATCTTTATTGTCATGAATAATGCTATTAATGCTGTGAACATGGGAATGCACCTATCTCTTTGACATACTGATTTCAATTCCTTTGGATATATACCCAGTAGTGGGATTGAGAATAGACATTTCTTTAGAGAATTGTCTATTCAGTTCCTTGGTCTATTTTTTATTGAGTAGTTTGAGTTCCTTGCATATTTTGGATATTAATCTCTTATCTGACATATGATTTGCAAATATTTTCTCCCAATCCATGGGTTGTTTCCTCACTCTGTTAGTTGTTTGCTTTGCTGTGCAGAATCCTTTTAGTTTGATGCAATATCATTTGTCTATTCTTGTTTTTGTTGCCTGTGCTTTTGAGGTCATACTAGAACTCATTGCCCCAACCAACTTCGTACAGCTTTCCCCCTATGTTTTCTTCTAGTAGTTTTATAGGTTCTGGCCTTACATTTAAGTCTTTAATCCATTTTGAGTTAATTCTTGTATATGGTGTGAGATAAGGGTCCAATTTTCTTCTTCTGTGTGTGGGTAGCCAGGTTACCCAGCACCATTTACTGAAGAGACTATTCTTTCCTCATTGTGTGTTCTTGGCACCTTTATTGAAAATCAATTGGTTATAAATGGGTGGATTTGTTTCTAGGCTCTCTATCCTCTTCCATTGGTCAATGTGTCTGTTTTTATGCCAGTACCATGCTGTTTTGATTACTATAGCGTTGTAAAATAAAGAACCGTGTCTTGAGGATGTAGGTATCTGAAAACACTAAGGCTGAAAACCTTCCAAAACATTTGTTCTAGGCTTGTGAATACTTAAGGCATAAAAAAATCTGAAGGGAGAGTGAGTAAGAGGATAGGGAGAGGAGGGAGAGAGAAGCTAGGAGAAATATGATTAAAAGGCAGTTTCTAGATGCCACCTGTTATATTATCTTGCTTTTAGAAAAATTGTGGATAAAGGAAACAAAATTCTCCAAAAAAAGAAAGCAGCAAGTGTTTGCTGGCAACTTCCACCTTTTACCTCCTCTTTTTTCTGCTAGCCTCTCTTCTTGACACTGTCCTGCTAAGCAGTATTACAGCCCAAGCTCTGATGGATGAGTTGAGGATATGTTAGGAAAACAAAAATAGCTTTCAGACTGCAGACAGGATGCAATAAAAACTAAAAGGAAGCAGAGAGCTCTTGCCCAGCCATGTGTGCAGACAATGTGTCCATGTGGAAAGGGGATTTATGGCAAGGGCATGAGATTTGCACCAGTTGTTAATTATGTGACTCTGAGTAAGGAGTTTAGCATCTTGGAGTCTTAGGAGCCACATCTCTAAAATAAAGCTATCTACCTGATTTTAGCTAAAAGTTTTTAAAGTGAATGCTTTTGAAAACCCTGGCAAAGAGTGACCACTTATTATTTTTGTAGTTATTTTTATAATACATGATAAAATGCAGGTGAGAGAGGTACACAGCCTGCAATATACCCATTCCACAGGCAAGTAAGGAAGAGCTGGCACGGTCCTAGTATGCACTGAGGTTTTCAGTTCAATGCCCATGACAACAGGGTTACCCAAAGAGACACTAAGACATTCTGAGTGAAGCAAGAAAAAAGTTGGATCTATCATATAATAATGAATTTGAGACCCTGGAAAACAAAGGTCTGGACCCCAAACTCTCATAAAAAG